GACATTTTAATTGTCTGGTATTTGTAACAATATTCCCTAAAAGGCACAATCACCACGAACACGGCCAAAGCTAAAGGGTCAAGTACAGTAACTACAACTAACTAACGTTGTAGCCTCTATGGTTGTAGCCTAGCAGAGTGGACAAGTTGCTGTTAGCTGTCAGTGAGGCATGTACATGTCGATCAAAGTGACCACGCCATAATTTATGCAAAAGATTTAAGGGCTTAATATTAATTAAACAGATGACTTGAGAAAAAATTCACCCCCCCAATCCATATTCATGAAGGGGGGATCTAACTATAGCCTACAGAGAATATGTTTTTTTTAACCACGATGTAAACATGTTTAATTCTGCTCTAAAGTTGGGCATTTTAACATTGGGGTCGATGGAAATTGCTCCCTTCTGCAGACTGCTCCTACTGGCCACTAGATGAACTGCAGTTTGAGGCACTTCCGCATTGGCGTCCCGGCTCTTCCCCAGAGTTTGCCGCTTGGTGGCAACGCAGGTGGTGATGGTAGGGGCACAAGGAGCTGTGCCTCGGAGGACAGCGTTGGTGGCGGCCGCCTTGATTAGTCAAGGCTTGGGCTCGCTAACTCAGCCCCGGGGTTTGCCGAGGTCAAGCTTGTGACATTAAGGCGTGCTGCTGCAACGGCAGGTGCAGGGTCGCCAGCAGCACCATTGGCTGCAGTTCTTTCATCGCTATTTCGTTTTAATACATCCTTAGACCTTTTAAGCCAATTTCTGATGTCCATTTTGTAATTCAAACAGAAATGGGAGTCTACAGAATGCACAATAAACAATAAACAAATCCAGAATAGGCGGCAGAGTGTGACGCTTTGATTGGTCTAAATGTGGACGAATCACAAATCACAACAGACACATGAATTTATTTGACGTAGCATGCAATAATTTTTTTTAGTTACTATCTGACATCACATACATCGTAGCATAAAAGTCCACGTTTATTTATATAATTTAACAAATATATATATATATATTTTTTTAATTTTATTTTTATAAATAATAAAATCGTGTTTATTGGGGGAGGGCAGGAATGTCAAATGGGAGGACCTGGCACGGCGCCGGGCATGATGACGGATGTTTGTCGGAAGGACTCCTCGGACCAAAAGTAATGGGATTTCCGCATTGGATATCGGTATATTGCAGAAAATAGATGATCTGTGGCTAACAAACGTTTATAGTACTTACACATTATTATTCAGCAGGTTAATCTTCACATTTTACCATTACTTGATGGTTTTTGAAATATAAATTAAATTGCTAGAGGTAAAAAGCTAATGCTAGGCTATAAACAAAAATCATCACGGACACACAGCATCACCACCGCTAAGTTTAAAGCGAACTCGTTTCGGTGTGGTGACATTTAGTAGTTTATTTAGTTGCCTGTTAGCGACCTCTGTTTTTAAGATACATACAAGCTTCGAACATTTACCAGTGGAGTATTTACTGAGGTATTTAATGTCATAGAACAAAACAGGAAAATCTCTTCAGCTCGTGTTAACAGTCAACTTTATTTTAGGTATCTAATCACAAACGCATTCAAAAACCGTTGACTTGCAGACGAGGAAAAACTGGAAGTACTAATTCATTTCTGGGTTTTAGGACTCACTCCTGTAATACTGCATTATTGCCAAAGTTTGGGTCAATACATTTAATCTGCTATGGGATAACAAGTGAAGTGAAAAGATATCAGAGACATCTTGATTCATGACTTTTAGAGTGTATGCGTCATGTCAGGATACCAGTCACATTTTGTCTGAGAGTCTGAATTCACTCTAAACTAGAGAGAAGTACAGATCAGAAAATATACTACTGGCTGGTGTTCAAGAGAGAAACGTTGAATCAGGGTTATGATATTTTTATGTGGAAGGGATTCTTTCAGACATCTCGATATTTAAGTAGAAGAGTGAAAGAGTGGAACGTCGGAAATAACGTGTGAGAGATGAGTCACTGATTCAGTTAAAAATGGAAAGAGCAGACTGATGAGACGCAGAGAGAAAAAAGTTGTGGATGAGTTGAAAGAGAGAGAGAAGAAGTGCCGACATAAAGAAAAAAGGATTGGGGAAATGGAGAGAAGAGAGATAACAATCACTGCTGTGAAAGAGAAGGAAGGAAGATAGAGAGATTGCTGATAAAGGATGGAAAGCAAGAGAGGTAAGGATATGAAAGAAAGGAATAAGGATAAGATGGAAGGAGAGATGGAAAACGGATCAAAAATGTTTGATAAAGGAGGCATTGATATAAGGAAGCCTGGTGAACTTTGCTGAGTCAGGGTCATCTCCAGGTCGAGCCGGTATCAGGTCATGTTTTGTTCGAGATAATAGAAGTGCTCATGCAGTTTTAAATCCATCTTAATTTGTTGCTTTGTCTTCCCTCACTCATTAACAAGGACAGCAGTTCTATCTTCTCTGCCACAGTTTCCAGTTACGTCTTGAATTCACCCGTTGCTCGGCTGTTAACATGCCAGCTTCATTTTTGAATACCAAATATATCTCTGAGGGTCTGAGAGTCTGATTTTAGCAATTTGAAGATCTGGCAAACCTCACAGGTGTCATGGAGGAACACATAACAATTCAAATGAATAATTGTGCTTAAAATAATCACATGTGTACAAATTACATAATGGACATTGTTTAAAAATATAAAATAAACTTGTATTTACTCTTGAGAGATTAATAAAATATTTACTTTTCTTCTTCTTCGTTTTCTTCTTGGCAGGAAAAGTTGAATAGCATTAATATGCATGCAGTTACTGCCTGCATAAAGTAACTCAACACATTTTTGTGGAAAACTAAAAATGATACTCTCACTGGCACATTTAATGCTATTTTTTTCATTCTTTATTTTCTTTATTTATATTGAATTTTTATAAGTTGTAACTTTATGCATAATATACAAATATCTTCCATAAAAATGCTGTTGTTTTTAATGCTTAAAGTGGACCTATCATGTATATTTGAAACATATATTGTAGGGCCATACCTATATAAAACATGCCTGTGAAGTTTTTGTTTCAAAATACCAAACAGATCATACATTTTAGCCATGCCTCATTTCCTTCTATTTGCTCTATTCCAGCCCTGTATTCACAAGGGCTGATTCTGTGGCAAATGAGCTGCAGCTGACCACGCCCCCCTGCAAAGGAGGGGGACGAGGCACGAGGCACGAGTGTCATGTTACCATGCTGTTACCATGCTTTTACCATGCCACGCAACCTCTCATTCCTCTGATAGGTGGAGAGTTGCCCATATAGGCGGAGCACCCCGTTTCTGACGTCAGAACAATTTCAAATGTCAAAGGTCTGATATAGTTCTGTGTATAAGCGATGCTTCACACACAGGGTCTCGGTGTGCGATGCATCAGTGACAGCCTTCTCTTGGTGGGGTCAGACGGTCAAATGCATGTTCAGCAAAGTCAAACTATCTATCTTTGTCTGTAGAAAAGACATGAATGGACAGCTCCCTCTGAGAGAAGCTGCTTCGTGTGATGAAGAGGCGTGTGCATTTGTGTCACACTTTCTCACTGCTTTTCATTCAGCGGACACATCAGGCTCTCTGTGCACATACACACAAGCATCAGACATTTATTTGGGGCAGATTTAAATACCAAATTCAATTAAATTTGAACATCTATTCTTCTATCTCTTAGATTTAAAAATATAGCATCATTCACTTAATTATATAAACAAACATTATATCAAAAATGTATATTACAATTTATCAATTGTTCCTCTTTCTGTTACAGAGTTATTTTGTACCAGTCTTGCCCTCAGGCCCTGCACGTATAAATTACCTTTTTCTTTTTTTAATCAAATGTAATTAAATAGACCAGCTAATACTTGTATGAAAGTCATAATACCTAATGCTCATGGGTGAACCTAGTGTAAGAAATTAAGAGCTAATACCTCAAATGTTTTGATTTTAGCTACAAAAAACGTGTTCAATTAGAAATCAGCAGTTTGGTTTCTGGATAATTGTTCTCCCTTCTTCCCATCTTAATCAATTTTTTTTGACTGAGTGGATGTATTTATCTTAAATGTCCTGTTACTTAAAAACCCAATGAGTCCAAATCAAATCCCTGTATGCTTTAATGAAGTGCCGCCTGAAAGGATATGCCTTTCACTCAGATATGTCACACAGCATAACCTAAAGCTGCTCTGCCATTGCCTCTGTCTGGAAGAAAAGCGTCTGTCAGCTGAATGTGTCACACACATGCAAATGAATGATTAGTCCACCACTTCCAAAGACATGTAGTAAGCCGGGACCCTTTCACATTCATGCTCTGATTCTGGTTCAAATCGTGCTCCGGCCCTGTGGCCTGCTTTTCACAATCAGATTCACAAAATTGTATTTAACGCAGAGAAATTGGGTTTTGTGACAGTTGCTCCATTTAAGAATGAAATACAAATAAAAAATAAGAATAAACAGAAAAAAAGAAATAGAGTAAAACCTATTTTCATAGTATTCTCTTTATATGTGCGATAGAAGGATAAAATAAAAATAATGGCATTTACATACTGTAAAAACGTAAGTAAAATGACCAATACAATTCAAAGAAAGAAATACTTAAATATATTTATACAAACAAAGAAAGTTAAAGCACAGTGTCAAACTAAATATAAAATAAAAGTATTTTGTAAAAAAACAGTAATATTAAAAGTTCACATCATACCACACAATATAATATGTACTGTATATTCCAAGCTATATATATAGTGTTGTATGAGCATGAAAAGTTCTTGATGCTGGAAAGGCTTTGTCTGATGATGATGTTAGAAGTTAGCGAGAGTCTAGTTCCCCAGCCAGTTCTCCTCAGTGATTGGCAGGTGGCTGTCCTTTGTCCTGATGATTAGAAATAAGCAATACTAGAACAAAGTGAGGATAAAACATTTGTTCTGTCTTAACCAGCTCTGTATAAATCCTCGGGGAGCAGAGGAGTGTCAGCTGCTGTTAATTACTCACCAGAGTTCCTCTCCTCCCAGAGATCCAGGCGCAGCGCCGGTGGAGAAGAAGAAGAAGGGCAAGAGGAGAAACCAGGAGCAGGCTGCCAGGGAGGGGGCGGAGAGTGACGACACTACCTCAACGCCAGCCCCCAACCTGGGTGGAGAGGAGAGCCAAGACCCCCTGGATCACACGGTGAGTGGACCTGGAAACACTGCACACTGTGGGCTTTATGGAACAAACTAAATCACATTAAATAAACATTAATTTTGTATTTGATGCCTGCAACACATTCCAATAAAGCTGGGACAGGGGCATGCTTTCCACTGTGTTTCATCACCTTTCTTTTAACAATAAGCGTTTGGGAACTGAGGACACTAATTGTTGAAGCTTTGCACGAGGAATTATTTCCCATTCTTGCTTGATGTACGACTTCAGTTGCTCAACAGTCCCCGGTCCCGGTTGTCGTGTTTTGCACTTCATAATGCGCCACACATTTTCAATGGGAGACAGGTCTGAACTGCAGGCAGGCCAGTCTAGTAACCCCACTCCTTAACTACGAAACCACACTGTTGCATTGCAATACGTGCAGAATGTGGCTTGGCATTGTCTTGCTGAAATAAGCAGGGACGCTCCTGAAAAAGACATCGCCATCCAAAACCTTAATGTACCTTTGACTTTTAATGGTGCTTTCACAGATGTGCAAGTTACCCATGCCATTGGCACAAACACACCCCCATACCATCACAGATGCTGGCTTTTGAACTTTGCGCTGATAACAATCCGGATGGCACTGTTCCTCTTTAACCTTGAGGACACAACGTCCATGATTTCCAGAAACAATTTGAAATGTGGAGTCATCAAACCACAGCATACTTTTCCACTCAGTCCATTTCAGATGAGCTCTTTAACTTGACTTGCTCTTGTAGATTATAGCGACGAACTGTGTTAACTGACAATGGTTTTCTGAAGTGTTCCTGAGCCCACGTGGTAATATCCTTTACAGAATGTTGTCGCTTTTTAATGCAGTGAGGGATCAAAGGTAACGCCCATTAAATGTTGGTTTTCGGCCTTGTCGCTTACATGCAGGGATTTCTTCTGATTCTCTGAATCTTTTGATATTATGGACTGTAGATGATGAAATCCCTAAATTCCTTGCAATTGTACGTTGAGAAGCATTGTTCTAAAACTGTTGGACTATTTGCTCACGCAGTTGTTCACAAAGTGTAGAACCTCGTCCCATTCTTGCTTGTGAACGACTGAGCCTTTCGGGGACGCTTCTTTTTATGACACTCACCTATTTCCAATGAACCTCTCCACCTGTGGAATGTTCCAAACAGGTGTTTTTTGAGCGTTCCTTAACTTTCCCAGTAATTTGTTGCCCCTGTCCCAGCTTTTGTGGGCTGTGTTGCAGGCATCACATTCAAAATTAGTGAATATTTGCAAAACAACATCAAATGTATCACATACCTTGTCTTTGTAGTGTATTCAATTGAATATAGGTCGATAAGGATTTGCAAATCATTGTATTGTTTGAATTTCCAAACTTCATTGGAATTGGGGTTTGTAAGTTAATGTACAAATGTGCTTCTGTCCTTTCTTTCCTCGTTTGCTTCTTGATCATATCCTGTTTCATTTGCTAACATCGTCCTGCCTCACTTTATTCTCTGTGCTGTATTTATCTCCTTTCTGCTCTTTCACCTTAATATTTGTCTTGTCCTTTTCCTGGCTCACATCCCCTTTTCCTATCTACTTCCACTCACACTTCCCCTTCCATTAACACTAATATCTCTGTGTATTGTATCCTCTATTTTCACGTAAATCTATTTGTCTTCCTAACTCTCTTCTTTTCCTTCTTCATCTTTATTCATACTGTTATCACACCTTTCTCTCCCCTTTTCCGCTTTACTGACCTGTCGTTTCCTCCTGTTGTTCAGAAGCGGCGTTCTGGACGTCAGGTGAAGAGGAGGAAGTATAACGAGGATCTGGACTTCAAGGTGGTGGACGATGATGGAGAGACTATCGCAGTTCTTGGAGCCGGTCGCATCTCAGCGCTCAACGCCACGGCGCTGGCATGGCAGGCGGAGGTGGGGAGGACACACACTAACCCCTTTGTTCATGTTGTATTACTCCGCTCCTCTCTCCTTTCAGTTTCTCTCCTCAATGAACAAGTCATATAGTAGAGTAACGCAGGAGTGAGTCTTAAAACCAGCAGTTTCCTCGTCTCAAAGGGTTGTGGTTTGATTCCTCAAATAGGGCCTTTGGTTAACACAAGCTTATGAGATGTTTTGTTCTACGATATAAAACAGGTCAGTAAACCCCACTGGTGAACGATGAAGCTTTTACGTGTCTTAAAAACAGCGGCTACTAACAAGTGGCTAAATGCAACTACTGAACATTAGCCGCCTTTAGCTTAGCGGTGGTGACGCGAAGTCATGCTTCATGATTTGTTTATAGCCAACACTAACTTTTTACTACTGGTGATTGCATTTACGTTTACACTATTCTACAAGTGGTCTTAATATGTGGAGTTTATTGTGCTGAACAAAATGTATTAAGTATCATAAACATGTGTTTGCCACAGAGCTTATTTTCTTAAATAGTCAATAATCCAATGAAAAAAATCCCATTGCTCTTTGTCGAGGGAGCCGTTGTGATGTTAACACATGTCAATAGTGCATCAGTCTGTGAATCAATAATATCCAGTGATTGAATAGAGTGCTGTCCACTCTGGACATGCGGGACATGAGGATGTTTCAAATAAAAATATTTTCCCGGGTTTCTGTCTGTAAAATCTCCACAAAAACTTTGGAAGCATTGAATAATCTATTTTTATTTTTATACAATGGTGGAATTAGTAAATGTACTCAAGTAATGTACATAAGTAGAATGTTGGGGTACTTTTACATAAAGCTTTTTTATATACTGTAATATATAATTACCTTCTAATTTACTCAGTACTTTCCAATTGGCTCCATATTGACAAATAACAACATAAAAAACTCTTTGTATATTCTAATGATATAAACAGAATATTATAATATCATTTAAAGAGCCTGTGACAGCCTCCCAACAACTGTTGTGCAATGAAATATTGGGCTACTAGTCATCTCGAACCGTCAGTTTAAAAAGAAGGTGCGATACCGTTTCGATAAATATCAATAATTTCAAACATCCCGAGGAAATTCCTTCGACTCATTTTGAAGTTTTGGGGGAAGCCGGAAGTGACGTCAATGCGGGAACGCTTCACTGTGCGGCGAGAGAGCCAAACACGGACAAAGTGTGTTGTCATGCGTAGAAATGGTGAATTACTGAGTTTAGGCACGTTAATAACGTTTTAATGAAGTTGACTACAGTATATTCATATTTGTCAGTGCTTTCATGTCAATTCGGCAAACATAAACATAAATGATCGTGGTGAAGATGATGATTACATTAGGATTAAAAATCAGTAGTGAGAGCTGCTGAATTTACTCCCGTCGGATGTGATATAAAAACAAATCGATTATTTTTGTAGTTGTAAACTCAAGTGGATGAAACTACATTTATTAGTGCTTTCATGTCAATTCGGCGAACATATGATACATTAAATGATCGTGAGGATGATGATTTAAAAATCGTTTTTTTGAGCCGGTCTGCATTTCCTGATGAGAAAACAACTGATGCTTTTTGTAGTTGTAGTACACTGACATGGATTAAATGTGTGTTTTTTTTTTACCACAATGTTGGGGAAATTAATGGATAAAATGCACGGATTATTATTATTATTCCGACTCCGATCGGGACACTAGGTCCACCGTTTCCCCGCAGCGAGGCTCCCCCCGTTGACAGTTTACGTGGGCTGGGCTGGGTGCAGTGGCGGACTGGCCATCGGGACGAATCCCGATGGGCCGGTACCGAAGTGGGCCGGTCGGATAAGTCACTAGCACATCCCCCACTCCCCCCGTTGACAATTTACTAGCGGTACCGAAGTGGGCCGGCCGAGAGTCCCGGGATGATTTTTAGTCCCAGTCCACCACTGGCTACATGACCGTATGATCGCCCATATTGACGCACCTAATTCCTAAACTTCTAACAGATACAACATAAACCGATCCTTCAGCCTCATATGAGCTCTCAGACACGTTCAAAATTAAACTGTCATCGCTGTCTGAGCTTGCTGCTGTGTGCCCCATCGTGCGTTTACATGCAGATGCTGGGATCCTGAACGGTGCAGCTGGAGCGCTTGGCCCGCAATGACGTCACACATAATTTGGCGGGATTTGAAGAATCCCCGAGAAGATCCAGAATATGGTCAACATTGAAGGGCAGATTAATGGTTATCAAAGTACAAATATCCAAAATCAGTTCAGTAACGGTTTTCAAGGGGACAATATTTACTCAAATGTATGGGTTTGGATGATGGGGGAAACTCGTGTCACAGGCTCTTTAGTGATACAACACCTACTTTCACTTTTTATACTTAAGTAGATTTAGCTGATGATACTCAGGAAATACTTGTATACTTATTATGGAGTGTTGGTTATTGTGTTTTTATTACTTTTACTTTTCCACTACTGCTTTTATATCACCACTCTCTCACCGTTTTAATGTTTGACAACAGAAAAATCTTAGTTTTTTTAAAAAGGCATCTGAATTTGGGAGGTTAAAATGCTAGATTGACAGGAAAACCGACTTGCAATAAACCCTAAATCCATGAAAGTTAAAATGTTTTAGAGAGGTTTATGTTTTTCCTGTTTTGGATGCTGTTGTTCACGCTGCTGTTGAACTGATTTGTATCATCGATGTTGGACAAACCATTAGCGCTCAGTATGCTACATTACCTAATGATTTCTGCCAGAATTTAGTGTAATACAGATTTGAAATGGTGTGATGTGCTTCTGTGAAGGCTGCTGTGTGATCACACACTCTGTCAACTGACCTTCATCAGTGTAGGCAGCTAATGATTTCTGTCTTCCTTTCCCTCAGGAACCACCTGAGGACGAAGCCAACATCATTGAGAAAATTCTGTCCGTCAAATCAGTAAAGAAAGAGGTGAAAGACAAAGGACACACACACACACACACACACACACACACACACACACACACACACACACACACATAAATCTACTCTCCTGCTGCTCGTCACATATTTATTTCTGCTTCACTGAATCCGTCTCCCCCCTCCCCTCTCCCTCCTCTCTACAGACTTCATCAGAGGAGGACCAAGTGGAGGAGACAGAGGAGTTTTATGTCAAGTACAGAAATTTGTGAGTGTCTTTTCATCGTTGCTTATTCACACCTTCACATTAGACATCTATCCGACACCCTAAAGGCTTTATTTATTGTAAGTGCAGCTTCAGGAGAATCTTTCCTGTTCTGTTGTCATTGGAGATTTTTCCAAACAGGTGTTGCACTGTTTTCAATTACTTTGCAATATGGTAACCTGCTATCACAGACCTTTGTTTTTGCTCATTCCTGCGTGTATTTGGACTGTTAGTGTAACCTAAAGCAGGGGAAACCCATGTGGTCTTTTGGCCATGCTGGCATATTGTTTGTGAAATTGAAACATGATAAGATAGTGTTCAGTCAGTGTGAGTCTGTATCAGATCAGTGTTTCCCCTATATACAAATAGCGGTGCCGCTGCTAGGGGGCGCCAGCCAGGTACCCAAAACAAATCAAATATATATATATATTTTTAATTAAAATAATAATAAGTGGCGACCCTTTTTTCGTTTTTGATTGTTTGTTATGTGGATTTGTAGTATTTGTGTTACTGTATGTTCAATAAAGGTGCATTTTTGCTAAATCTTGAGACATTGCTACTGTATGTACTGGCAGGGCCGATTTTTGACGTAGGCGCTGTAAGTGATGAAAGTGGGGGATGTTGGCTTATCAGGCGCCCGCAGCTCACAGCCAAAGTGCGAGCGTGGGAGCGAGCGAGGGAGCGAGAGAGAGAGGGCGCACCGGTACCGGCGCTGTTGTTATTAGAATCTGGTGCTAGCTGCGCTAACGGATATAAGAAGTAGATGTTTAGAGTGTTTAGATAGTTAATTTTAGTCTAAGTTATCTCAGTGGGTCTCAAACAAATATGTGTTTACAAATTATGTAAACACATATTTCCAAGGCACTCCTTTATAATTATTAGGATAAATAAAAACAGGTTTGAAATCATTCCAATGTAATTTACTATAGGAAAGTTAAACCAAAAATATCGTTTAAAGTTGGAGATGACACACAAAATGATGCATAATTTAGATTAAATGTTAACTGGTAAAATAAGATATAAAAGACAAAATAAAATAAGTTACATTTATTTGTTATTGGCTATGGTAGCTATTGGTTATGTTCATATACTTATTTGAATTATTAAAATATAAATCCGATCTTTTTCATATGGTAGTTGTACCCCCCTGGATCAGGTCTTCTCAGTAATTGTGTGCTCAAAGTTGCACCAGATTGAAGCATTTTACTTTAAAATGTTAAAATAAAATCTTCCCGGTGGGGCATATCCCCGGCCCCCCTAGAGTATGTGACGTGTCAATAAGTTGTGTATTTGTCTTTGTAGAGATTTTTAATATTGTTCTCTTATATAATAACCATCTCGCCATTAGGCAGTCAAATTGGCATAGGAACCGGCCCTGCTACTAGGCCCTCAAGAGCTGCTTTTCTGTGCTGGCAGACACAAAACAAATGTTTATCTCGATTGGAAGGTGTTGAGTTCGATTCCCAGCGTCACCATGGTGTCCTAGACTAGATTACTTAATACACTTATTTCTTCCCCGATGCCCTGCACCTTTGTAAAAGCAGCTCTGGCATGAATGGGCGAACTGCTGACTTGTAAATCTAAAAGGCACTGAGGGGTTGCAAAATCTGGGGAAAGAGTTATATAAAAGCCAGACCTTTTTACCGCTACGACCAACCTTTTATTGTATGTCTGTGATTGTTACGCGAAGGCTGTGGTTGTTTACCCAGCCAGTTTTTTTTTTTATTAAACCAGAGGCGTTGGCTGTTACGGTTGAGTGATAGGAAGCAGGACCCAAATGCAGATAACTCTGATTAACTTTATTTCAAGGATAAGATAAAAATAGCGTTGGGACAAGAACAGACCACTCAGCCGGTGAAACTCGACACAAACAAAAGACGAACCAAACAGCTGAAACACAGGAAGAGACACGGGACTAAGATACTAGGAGGGTAATCACAGACGGAGAAACAGCCGGGCAGGGAGAGACACACCAGGAACTAACGACAGGGAGGAAAAAACACGAGGGAAAAAAGACCAGAGAATATACCAAGAGGAGAAAACATGACAGGAAACAGCAAAACACCCAAAACAAGACATACAGAAACGTGACCATAACACAATAATCGTAACACGTGCTCTCCTACCTGTTACTGCAGTTACGGGTCAGAGAAGCTGAAACAAATAACAGTTCGATA